ATTATTGTTTTACACTTTCCAAGAATTCAAAGAGATGTACAGTGTCAATTCTAACTTTCTTCAATATCAGGGTTTAACTTCTTCTGTCAAGGTATATTTACAGAAAAGCAATATTGAATTTGATAAGCAATTTATTGTCTACCCACTAATTCCAAATAACATTGCAATTTTCTTAAATAGAACTAGAGGTTGTAGGCACATTTATAACCCGATGATAAAAAGTGATTATTTCCACTGGTAGAACAAAATGAATTGAACTAGTCCAACATTTATATAACTCCCTTCATAGTTACAAGAAACACCAAACTACAGTGGTTTCAACATAGGATAATACAACATATATTGACAACTAATTCATTTTTGTTTAAAGCTGGTATAACTAATAGTCCTATGTGTAACCTTTGTAATATGGAAGGGGAAACAATTATTCATGTTCTATGGGAGTGCCATGAAACACAAGCATTACTACAAAGTTTAGAAACCCTTTTTGATGTATTTCTTATCCCATTTTCTTTTAATAAACAAAGATTTCTCTTTGGTAATTTATTACATAATGGCAATGATATAGGTAATAAGACAGATAATGTAATTTTGATTTTAATCAAATTTTACATATACAAAACAAGATGTCTACATAAAGCCTTAAATCTGACAGTTTTAATCAGTTCAATTAAAGAGTATTGTATGTGTCAAAAAAGTATTGCTTATAGTGAAGGGGAACTTTCCCAACATAAGTTTAGGGCTGAATGGATAAAATGGGAGAAATTGTTAGAAATCTTAGACTAATTCATCTGTTAATATATTTGTGAATTTCCTGGGTACATTTTAAGAGCTTTGATATCTTTCCATTGCATACAGGTATATATTTATAGAATACTAATTGTATATATGATGTTGATTGTACATGGATGATACTAATTGTATATATGATGTTGATTGTACATGGATGATACTAATTGTATATATGATGTTGATTGTACATGGATGATACTGATTGTATATATGATGATGATGATGATGATTGTATATATGATGTTGATTGTACATGGATGATACTATGTATATATGATGTTGATTGTACATGGATGATGATGATGATGATGATGATGATGTTTGTATATGAGATGATGATGATGATGATGATGATGATGATGATTGTACAAGGGATGAAGATGATGTGTGTATATGGGATGATGATGAGGATGTGGGGTGTGCAAGGTTGTTTATCTGTATGTTTAAAATGCTTTGAAAAATAAAATAAATAAAAAAATATTATTATATTGAGATGTTATTATTCTCTCTGTTGTATTTATGTGGTATTTTTTAGGGGTTTTTTTCTTGAAAAACGTGACGGTTTTTTATTTCAACTCAAATGAATTAAGTCTATAAGTAGGTAAGGCATTAAAACGAGATGCAAGTAGTAGGCACGACTACCTAGAATACATTTTAATGAATATCCATAAGATAGGTGGTACGGTTTTTAACTAGCAACGATTTAAATACCTTCATTAATCACTACATATATGGTGATAGTACCGTTATTGTTTATACGTCTTCAGAAATACACTTATCGTTTTCCTGTTTATCGACCGAAGATAATGTCGATAAATTGTTGTGTGTTTTATATACAGGAGAGGAAAAAAGGAAAGAATTGTGTGGGGAAGCCTGAAGGCGGACTTAAAAGCCTTCCAGGATGTCAGATGCCACCAGGGATTCTTTGAGATTGTTCCAGATTAGGAAATGTTCAGGAAAGGAAGAATATTTACTACAATAAAAACAACAGTAGTTTGATAGGTCAAAAAGGATGAGAGTCCAACCTGATGAACCATATCTAAAGGATTCGCATACAATGACTCCATGATTCGTGCTGTGTTATCAGTCTGGTTCATACATTCAACATAATATGGTTCATCGTTTTAACAATATTTGTAATGATAGAAAATAGCATGTCTTTCCAAATCAGATACGCAAATTATTTTGATCATTATACTGAAATCAATTTATCATGTCCTTTGCATTGCGAAATATTCCAAACTGAGCCATGGTAGGATAAAGTACATGAGTACCAAGGATTAAGTGCATGTGTTCCAGAATTTACCGTACGAACATGTATTTAAATTATAAAAATCTTTTTGGTAGAGGTACTACTCAGTTAAATTATATTCAAAGGACGGACGCACTAATTAAATGACACATTCCGAGTGGCCTACGTTTTATAAGACAAAGAAAGACTTAATCAATAGACAAACACTCACGTGGGCTTAGTACACCCGTACCCGCACACTATAGTTGAGAATGGACTTGCTGGTCCGTGACGTATCATTGTTTATATAACCGGGGTTTAGTGGCACGTGTTCACCGGTTTATAAGTCTATCGTTGGCCGGATTTACACCATAAAAATTCCAGATTAATTAGACCCAAGCTACAATTGACGGTATGATTCACGGAAGCGAATATTCACAAGATCGAGTTGTTTTTACGGAAGAGCAATAACGGTAAGGAACTATCAGTTTGCTGTATTTCCATGGTAACTAAAACATTACTCTATTGTACAAGTGAATGGCTTTGAAATAACACCGGTATTATAGAACATTTGATGACAAAATTCGGGTAACGGACAACAGATTCTCTAGTGGAGACATGTTAGGGACCTGACTTAAGAATATATAATAATACTCGTTACATTTGTTCTTGTCGATATATGACACTTGGATGTTTGTGGTCATTCAATTATAAGCTACTTCGTTAAGAAATGGTAGGTTAGATGTGACATTCAACCCGGACCGATCGTTTTTGTGTCTGATTTTCTCATCAACAAAAATATTCTTAGGTCGTACAGGTAAGTACTTCAGTATCCTACATGACTGAATGGGTTATTAAGTATTCATGTACAACTGTATGTCATTTGTTCCCTGGTCACGTGGACTTTTTATCGATTGGTCAGAAATAAAAAGTAAAGAATATTGTACGAAAGTAACACAGGTTACTTGCACCTTTTAATATGAATATAGAGTTTGAACCGGTAGAGCCAGACAATGAATTAAACTGCATCATACAACTCTCTTACTTCGTAAATGATGCTTAAATATTGAAGCCTAACGAATGAGGAACTTCCAAAGTGATCGTAGAAAGAAATGTCAAAATCTTGATGGGGAGGTGCACTAACCCTATAACTCAAGAAATATCGTACTTCTCATATATCTGATCATTTTAGAAAGCACGTCAGTACTTGTATATATTCTAAATAATGACAAAAATAATACACCTTAAACTGTTTATTTACAGTCCATTAATGTATGCTTTTATTTTGGTGATTTTTCTCTACACGTTTTCATTGGAATGAATAATTTCAATATGTTGAAGAAATTGATTTTTAAAAGATATCAAAGAATGTTTTAGTCCCTGCCAAGCCGATTAATAGAACCTCTCCAAGTTCATTAGCCAAACTCTACCCCATTATTCAAAAAACAGTAACAACAAAGTGTAATTTGTAGAGACAGATATTAATCTCGAAACGATATTTGTCCCGTGAAGTTTGTGTTGAAATTGATTATGTTATCAATTTACGACATGGTTATGCTCAAAAGATGATGACGCAACCCCATCATTGTAGCGTCAATGCGCATGTCAGCGGTCATTCCTACATTATTACCATTTTTAGTAGCCACGCTATCACTCCGTCAAGTCTGTGAGAGAAGTATAGTTTGAAAATATCAACGGGAATTAGGTCAGTGAAGTATTTCAAAAAGCTGTCATTTAAGCGAGCAGATGTTTCATAATTACATTTTTGCAGGGAAATATAGGATTTTACCGTGAAAATATGTGTTTTGATGTTTCCATGCGTTTTTTACTTAGTATTTGTTATGTAAATATAGATTTTCTCAGTGTATTATAGAATTCAAGAACGACAACTCTGTCTATATGATTGTATAAAGTGGCAGGAAACATTTGATTGACTATAATGTGTCGATCCTTCTCAGAGTAAATAAACCAATTAAGTGTTTCATGTTTTTCTTTACTCACTCCGTGTTGACTTGTTTGAAGGCTCACGTCTTAGATGTGAAACTATATTATCAGTGGAAGTACTGGAGTTCACATAGAAATAGCAAGCATATTAATACCAACATCAATGTAAGTTGTGAACAGATTTGATAAATATAATATAATTTGGTAAATAGCAGTTATATTTTATGGAGTAGGATATGAAGTTTGATTTTTAACGAGTGCGAATATAATCTATTTAATGTTTAATTGGCATCAAGAAATCGTGTAAGCTTGACATTCTCCAAACAGGTCACGGATTTATCATTCCAAACAACGTCGTAATTGTTGTTAAGGCATTCATAGAGACATCGAAACGACTTCAAGTAGTCAACAGCTGATTTTATTTTCCTTTTTTCTCTTTCCCATTCCGCCTTTCATTCTTGCTGGTGCTCTTACGTTTATCAGGTTTGTTCCAGTGCCTTAATTTCAAACTGTTCAGGCAAACGAAGTCTGTACATATATACAAAAGATGATACGGTTAAAGCATTTGTATGATCATTCTAATTAAAGATAGGAGTTTGCTGACAAAACAGAACACATGTATAACCTTCACACTGACAAGAGAAATCAATGTATTGAATATCATGAGACAATATCTGAATGTTACTATATAAAGATTTACGTTTTGTAATATAACAAAAAGTGATTGTAGTAAGAGGAGGAAAAGTCTCCCACTATTGTGTAAATATATCTCAGGATAATGGTTCCGTGTTTTTATGGTCACTCTAATCACATATTACATAGAACCCTTATTCTGGACACACGATGTAATAGGACAAGTGCCGTCGGTTGGAATAGCTGTCGATTTCTAAACAAACCTCTCGTCAAAAATCAGGTTACGCCCTGATTAGGCAGAAGATCCTATGCTTGAACATTAAATGCAGCTAATCTTTTGTAAATAAAAGGTATTTGGTGAATTATGAATGTTTTTATGTTCCAGAATACAAGCACAATTATGAAGTTTACGGAATTTTATAAGAAATGGGAAGATAGACTTGGAGTTCCATTTGAGAAATATGGAATCATTGTATCGAAATATCCATGGCATGTATTGATGGTATGTGTGGTCATCAACTGTCTACTGGGAATAGGACTGATCAGGATAGAAGCAGAAACGGACACAGAGACTCTGTATACTCCTCAAAACAGCCAGTCCAAGGTAGACCGAGCAGCCGTTCAGGCTGTTTTCACTGAAGACAAGTCCGCCACAAATTTCTACAGCAAAAGCGTTATAGAGGAAAACATGTACGCTGACTTTATTCTAAAAGCCAAAGATGGATCAAGTATCTTAACTACAACATACGTGGATGAAACTGAAAGAATATATAACTACATCAAAGACAATGTTAATGTGACAAGTGGTGGCACGTCTGTAGGTCTCACAAATGTTTGTGCCTTACGTAATGGAAACTGTGTTGTTGAAGGAGATGTTGTTTTCAGTACAGCCTTCCGCACTGCTATGACAGCCAATACTATTAGCTATCCTTTGTTTAATCTAGAGTCTCTCAGCAGCTTATTTGGAGATGCACAGTCATCAGGAGGTGTCCTCACTTCAGCTAAAATGGTTAAAGTGACTTTCTTTCTACGTCAGGACACAACAGCTGCAACGTCGCTGTCCGAAGCCTGGGAAGACAGGTATATAGAAGTACTAGGTACTATGTCCTCGTCTTTAATGGACATTGCTTATTCAACGTCATCATCTTTGGATGACGAGTTAGAAAAAAATGTACAAGGAGATATCATGTTCTTCGCTCTTACGATCACAATGATGCTGACTTACGCTGGATTCGCCACTACCGGTGGAGACTGTGTGTCCGACAGACAGAATGTAGGTCGTGCAGGTGTTTTGGCAACATGTCTTGCAATCTTGGGATCCTTCGGTCTAGTTAGTGCTGCTGGTGTCAAGTTCGTCAGTATTGTAGGAACGCTTCCTTTTTTGGTCATTGGTAGGTAGTCTCGCATCTACCCAATGGAGTCTTTTTGAAATAATATTTATATTCTTATTTGCTTGTTGTTAATTCGATGACTTTCCGGTCTTATTTCGATTTTGCATTGCCTCTCTTGGGTAGATATGATCATTTATATTGCACATCTTTGAATGGCAAAGATAACTTTTTATTTTGGATGGTTCAAATTTAAAAGTAAATACACAGGTTATCTGAATGGTAATTTAGCAAACACAGGGTATCAAATGTAAATGCATAGGTTATCTGAATGGTGATTTAGCGAACACAGGATATCAATGTAAATACACAGGTTATCTGAACGGTAATTTAGCGAACACAGGGTTTCAAGTATATTTTTTTTGTAGACCAAATTTTCACTGTTGTTTAGACTCTTATATGTACAGGTATTGGTCTGGATGACATGTTTATTCTGATGTCCTGTCTGGCGGACTGCTCAGTGAAAGGGACGATTGAGGATCGGATCAAGGAGACGATGAGGACAGGGGGCGTGGCCATCACCATAACATCCATCACCGACTTTCTGGCGTTCGTCATAGGTGCATCAGCTTCCTTTATCAGCGTCAGGAATTTTTGTCTGTATGCAGGTAACTCCCTTTTGATAAGACTTAAGTCAGCAGTTACTATGTGCCCAAACGGACCTTAGTTATAAGGAAATGTAGAACAAGAATATGTCCAAAACAGAGGAATTGTAAGTTCATCTACATTCAGTTGTTTAATTATAATTTCACGCCATGGTCTTGGATTTACTGTAGTGAAAACAAGAGTATTTTTGTATAGAAAATGCGGTAGGATGTAAATTTGACAGATTTTTGGTGTAAAATATTACGGACAACATCTACTCCCTGTTTGGTGAACTCTACTTTCATTTATTGCCTAGTCGCTGAAGAACTGCGTACGGACAGGCTACAGTTATGTTATCGGTACCACATCATCAACCATTTTCAGAAGTCTCCAAGCAAGTTTCTGAAGGTCATCAGGAGTAGTATAAGAGGAATTTCAGAAGGCTCCTTTTATTTTTGGGTTGTTCATGTGTTGCCCTAGTTTCAATGAATTTGGTGATGAAGATTATTATTATGTTGACATGTTGGTATTTTGTTTTTTATGGATACATCTTTATAAAATTATGAAATAGTGCTTCACCACATATTGCCGATGTTATCACGATTTTATACCGTAGTCTGAAGATATGTAAATAACGTAGACAAAAAGCCATTAACAACAACATCCATTACGGTAAGATAAGCGCAATAAAGTATTTTGTAAGGATATAAAAGAGCTTATTAATTCTAATCACAATATCTAACACTGATTTTCTCTAAAATTAAAACTGAACACCAGTAAATTATCCGTACTATATATGTAACAAACGCTGATCACGCTGAACTCAATCTGACAAGGGTATTTGGTGTAATGTCATGTTTGATTATTTCAGGTGTCGCTGTCCTCTTCTGTTACTTAAACCAGCTAACATTCTTCGTCCCATGTATGGTGATCAATGAACGCCGAATGGCCCGAAGCTCCCACTGTGGAACATGTCTTCCTATAAAGTCTCGAGAGGATTTACGAGCGGAAGGGAAATCCAAATGTCATGCTTTCTTGTGTGGGGGACAAGTCCCGAAAAAAAGAAGTGACAACGAAAGCCCTTTGGAAAAATATCCCAAACTTCTTTTTCAATACATAGTAGAACAAATTCCAGGTAAAATAGTGATATTAGCCTTGTTCATTGGTTATCTGACAGCATCCATCTACGGAATAACGAATTTCAAACGGGGCATGCTCCTTAGTAACTTAGTCACTGAAGACTCATACTTTTATACCTACAGTAAGCTCATCGAGAACCATTTCACCACGGAGATTCCCATAGGGTTCATCATCACATCAGCGCTGACGTACTCCGACATTACCACCCAAAATCATATTTCCGATCTGTTATCGAACGCCAAAGCTGACGTTGACATAAATCCAAGTTTCACATTCGACTGGCTGACGGATTACAAGAGTTCCGGATCATACAGTGCTGTCAGTGAAACAAGCTTCATATCTGGGCTGAAAACATTCCTTACGACTCGAACAGACCACGCTAATGACGTGGTTTTCAACAGCGCTGAAACAAGCATTGTTGGCGCTAGGTTTTACGTTATGACCAACAATCTGCCCGAATCCAAGCAAAAAGGAAACATTATGCTGCGAATGCGTGAAGTAGCAGACAATTCTCCACTTCCGGTAGTTTGTTTTTCTGCGCCTTTTATATTTTTTGATGAATACGCTTATGTTTTTTCTATAACGATGACAACTGTCGGTATTGCCATAGCAGCCATGCTTGTGGTTACCGTGCTGTTTATGCCACATCCGTTACTTGTCGTGTGCGTCACTGGTACCATGGTGATGATATGCGCGGGAATGTTTGGGTTTATGTATTTCTGGGACCTTACACTAAGCGTCATTACAATGATACATATTGTCATGAGTGTAGGATTTTCCGTCGATTTTAGTGCACATATTTGTCATGCATACATAACTGTAGATGGCGCCACAAGAAAAGAACGTGTACACAAAGCGTTAGATCGTTCTGGTGGACCTATCATCAACGCCGCCCTGTCCTCAATAATGGGGATCCTTATCCTGGCATTTTCGTCCTCATACATCTTCAGGAGCTTTTTTAAGTTGATGTTCCTTGTAATGGTATTTGGATTAGCGCATGCGTTGTTATTAATTCCAGTAATATTTTCATTGATTGGACCTGTAACAGCAGCAACGGCAGCTGTCAAACCTGCCACCGACCAAGATGAAAGCGCGCAATCAAAAAGTGTGCCAATAGAATATCAAAACAAATCATTTAACAAAACCGAGTCAGAAGAAAGAGATAAGGTATCCGGAACGACACAGCGAGGTTTGACAGCTAACGGCATAACCGAAAGCAAGGACGACTAGAATGTTTGTGATATCGCCAGGTCTCATGATTATAGTTGAATTTGCTCCAGAAGCTCCACTTGATTTTTTTGACCACCGAGAACAAGATTATTTCATGGCGACCACTTGGCAAATGTATGGATGGCTGTCGATACTTGTATGAACCTGCTTTGTGACTGCAGTAACTAGTGGCTTTGTGCTTGTTTCCATCCAAATCGTCAAATGTATGTTAAATATGAAGCTATTTGCTATTGTTTTGAAAACATTCGACACTATTTATTTTTCAAATACAAATTTGGAACCTGATTTTGTGACGTTATACGGCTATATTTTGTGACGTTAAACGGCTATATTTTGTGACGTTAAACGGCTATATTTTGTGATGTTATACGGCTATGTTTTGTGACGTACGGCTGTATTTTGTGACGTTATACGGCTATGTTTTGTGACGTTATATGGATATATTTTGTGACGTTATATTTGACATTATGCAAATGTATTTCTGCCTAAGCTTTGGACAACTATTCAATACTCCTCAAGTAGAGAAAACGGCCATACTGTAGATTAGATGTGCATACAATGTATATTCGCCGCATTTCCTCCTCAGCTACCTAACATGAAAAATGGGTCTGAATTATTTCGCTTCTACTATTATCGTAAGCAGTGAAAAATACTATTGAATAAGTTCTATCGTTGTCGATATTGAAACTGACAATGGAATAGCATATATTAGAACGAAGAATAGAGGTATTCGCATTGATTAGACATAGCTTAAAAGAGCATCTTGTTGTTCACAAAGCCAAAATTAGTCATTATTCATCAATAATTCGCACATGTTAGGCCCAGATTGGCGATTCCAAAACAATATATATCTAAATTGTATAACGTTATGTTTATTCTCCGTTGTACTCTGAATCTGATGTACCTCTTTCCTGATCTGTGTATTAGCAAACAATGGCGATGATGAATTTGAGTTTTTTTGTTTTTTGTTTTTGTTTTTTGTTCAATCTAATCAGCTAAATGGAGGCTTTCATTCAAATCAGTTGACTTTTGTAGTGTTTTACCGCTGTCTGTAAATTCAGTAAAGTTGTTGCAATACTTCGTTGACTTGTACAACAAGATAATTTTAGTGATTGTCAAACGAAGAAACTCGTGGTCGGTTCTACACATACTTTGCCCGATTCGATACATAATGTAAATGTAGAACAAATTTCATAAACTTTAGGACATGAGACAGAATATCGGTATGTATTGATTGAGTTTTATCTCAAGAATTTTGTACGCTTTGTGTTTATATTTCGATTTTTTGTTTGTTTTTTTTTTATATCTATATACTTTTGCTTAACACATAGGTTATAGAGAAGCATATTGAAGTATTAAGGAATGCTTCTCATTTTGTTATTATTTGCAAGACATATGTACTGGCTTGGCTTTATTTACAATTGTTGAGATTTTTGTTTTGTGTTTTCTTTTTATTCTAAATCATGAACTTCCGATTTTAACACCCAAAATGTGTCTTCTTTAGGACAAATTTTCATCCCTTAATCCCAAAATCTATGAGTCATTTGCTTTTGGTTTTTTAAATGCTTCGATTCTAATTTGTTTAATGATGTTTGTTGAAATCTTGCAATGCAGGAAACCATTTTTCGATTTTCTCAAATCATTTTGTTCCCTTCTCGAGTCTGTTTCCAACCGGATGATATCAAATGAAGTTTCTAGTTTCTAGAGTCCATGAAAAGGCTAACACTTTAACAACCCAAGTAGGACCCAGCGTTCATTTGAGTAACGAAGGGATACAGCTCTTTCATACAACCCCATGACTGTACATACAATCGCGTCATGTGCTTTTGCCTCTTTTGTGTCCTTAACCTGTGGTTTGATTACAATTTTCATAAACGATTTGGTATATTTTTAATATATTGACCAGTGATCTGTCCTCATTTTAATACTTATAACTATTTAGACAAAAAAAAACTGTTAACTTATACCCTGAAACGTGTTCTTGTTTATTGGTGTATAGATACTCTTAAACAAGTATATATTTTAGACATGGTGATCTTTTGAAATTCGATGAATATTATTGTTACAATACGAAGTTCTTGGTAGATGATTCTGTATAACATAAGTTATTTCTCGATATCATTCTAACTGTCAAATATATATATTAATCAAAATCATTTTTTTTATATAATTTCGATGCGTCCAATAATAAAATTGTGCCTATAAAAGACACAGCTTGTATGTGTAAATGGAAAGCCTAACTAGATATACAGTACCTGAAACAGTTCTTACCTAAATCATATATATATATATATAGCTGAGATTAAAATCTTACTTACAAAGGGAATGCACTGCTTATGTTAGTCAGTTTACTGTTACTACTTTTACTTATTATTTACACAATCACAGTTTTCTTTTTTAAAGACCTTTATAACATACAGAGATATATAATTTATAATTCTGTGATATTAATTTATGATGAACAAGCTTACCTTGTCAATATGTAGCTGTGTATGTTCTACGTATGGAAAGATTACCTGTGTGTTGTACGTAAGGTAAGATTTACCTGTATGTTGTACATGTGGCAAGATTTACCTGTATGTTGTACATATAGCAAGATTTACCTGTATGTTGTACATGTAGCAAGATTTACCTGTATGTTGTACATGTAGCAAGATTTACATGTATGTTGTACGTGTGGTAAGATTTACCTGTATGTTGTACATGTAGCAAGATTTACCTGTATGCTGTACGTATGGAAAGGCTTATTTGTATGTTGTGTACATGTGGCAAGATTTACCTGTATGTTGTACGAGTTGTAAGATTTACCTGTATGTTGTACGTGTGGTAAGATTTACCTGTATGTTGTACATGTGGCAAGATTTACCTGTATGCTGTACGTATGGAAAGGCTTATTTGTATGTTGTGTACATGTGGCACGATTTACCTGTATGTTGTACATGTGGTACTATTTACTTGTATGGTGTATGTGTGGTAGTATTTACCTGTATGTTGTAGGTGTGGTAATATTTACCTGTTTGTTATACGCGTGGTAAGATTTACCTGTATGTTGTACGTATGGTAAGATCGACCACTTTCTAAGATCTGTTTCGGTGCTTGTACTAAGTGCGATTTTACAATATACGTTGACAACAAATTGGTGTGTACAAATTCGTGTGACTAGCTAAGTGTATACATAACTTCTTTTTTTATTTGAAAACTGTTGGAATCCTGACACTGATGTATTCCGTGCATAATATGAAAATGTTAACTTTTTATAACCGAAAAAGAAAGAATGCATCTTTTTCTGGTATTTTCTCGTTCTAATAAGTTGGCATTGTTACATAAATTTGTCCGATTTAGCCAAGATGAGTAGATATATATGATTATTATACCTACAGTGATATCTTGAATGTTGTATCTATTTCCGTACATGTTATCAAAACATTCCTATTAAATGGTATATTTGTAAGTGTAAGTTTGTAGCAGTAATACGTTGATATGACTATATCTTAAGCAAATGCTTTATGATATTATCTGATGTATTGGATTGGTATACCAGTGAACTGTTGTGTCTATATTATCTGATGTAGTGGATTGATATACCAGTGAACTGTTGTGTCTATATTATTGTATGTAGTGGATTGATATACCAGTGAACTGTTGTGTCTATATTATCTGATGTAGTGGATTGATTTACCAGTGAACTGTTGTGTCTATATTATCTGATGTAGTGGATTGATATACCAGTGAACTGTTGTGTCTATATTATTGTATGTAGTGGATTGATATACCAGTGAACTGTTGTGTCTATATTATTGTATGTAGTGGATTGATATACCAGTGAACTGTTGTGTATATATTATTGTATGTAGTGGATTGATATACCAGTGAACTGTTGTGTCTATATTATTGTATGTAGTGGATTGATATACCAGTGAACTGTTGTGTCTATATTATCTGATGTAGTGGATTGATATACCAGTGAACTGTTGTGTCTATATTATCTGATGTAGTGGATTGATATACCAGTGAACTGTTGTGTCTATATTATTGTATGTAGTGGATTGATACACCAGTGAACTGTTGTGTCTATATTATTGTATGTAGTGGATTGATATACCAGTGAACTGTTGTGTCTATATTATCTGATGTAGTGGATTGATATACCAGTGAACTGTTGTGTCTATATTATTGTATGTAGTGGATTGATATACCAGTGAACTGTTGTGTCTATATTATTGTATGTAGTGGATTGATATGCCAGTGAACTGTTGTGTCTATATTATCTGATGTAGTGGATTGGTATACCAGTGAACTGTTGTGTCTATATTATTGTATGTGGTGGATTGATATACCAGTGAACTGTTGTGTATATATTATTGTATGTAGTGGATTGATATACCAGTGAACTGTTGTGTCTATATTATCTGATGTAGTGGATTGATATACCAGTGAACTGTTGTGTCTATATTATCTGATGTAGTGGATTGATATACCAGTGAACTGTTGTGTCTATATTATCTGATGTAGTGGATTGATACACCAGTGAACTGTTGTGTCTATATTATTGTATGTAGTGGATTGATATACCAGTGAACTGTTGTGTCTATATTATCTGATGTAGTGGATTGGTATACCAGTGAACTGTTGTGTCTATATTATTGTATGTGGTGGATTGATATACCAGTGAACTGTTGTGTATATATTATTGTATGTAGTGGATTGATATACCAGTGAACTGTTGTGTCTATATTATCTGATGTAGTGGATTGATATACCAGTGAACTGTTGTGTCTATATTATTGTATGTAGTGGATTGATATACCAGTGAACTGTTTTGTCTATATTATTGTATGTAGTGGATTGGTATACCAGTGAACTGTTGTGTCTATATTATCTTATGTAGTGGATTGATATACCAGTGAACTGTTGTGTCTATATTATCTGATGTAGTGGATTGATATACCAGTGAACTGTTGTGTCTATATTATTGTATGTAGTGGATTGATATACCAGTGAACTGTTGTGTCTATATTATCTGATGTAGTGGATTGGTATACCAGTGAACTGTTGTGTCTATATTATTGTATGTAGTGGATTGATATACCAGTGAACTGTTGTGTCTATATTATCTGATGTAGTGGATTGATATACCAGTGAACTGTTGTGTCTATATTATCTGATGTAGTGGATTGATATACCAGTGAACTGTTGTGTCTATATTATCTGATGTAGTGGATTGATATACCAGTGAACTGTTGTGTCTATATTATCTGATGTAGTGGATTGATATACCAGTGAACTGTTGTGTCTATATTATCTGATGTAGTGGATTGATATACCAGTGAACCGTTGTGTCTGTATTATCTGATGTAGTGGATTGATATACCAGTGAACTGTTGTGTCTATATTATTGTATGTAGTGGATTGATATACCAGTGAACTGTTGTGTCTATATTATCTGATGTAGTGGATTGATATACCAGTGAACTGTTGTGTCTATATTATCTGATGTAGTGGATTGATATACCAGTGAACTGTTGTGTCTATATTATCTGATGTAGTGGATTGATATACCAGTGAACTGTTGTGTCTATATTATTCTATACCGATGTTATTGTTAATGTTATGTATCAATAATGTTTTAGACAGTTTTTCTACGAATGTGCCATTGATTAGTTGATTGATATGAAAGTAAAATATTTTGGTCTTGCGATATCTGCATTGATTATATATCTGATATTATATCAAGTTATCCCCTTCCAAAATCTAAACTGTTTCCTGTCCTAAGAACCATTAAAATTCACAAGGAAAAAATGCAAACAAAAAACAAAAAATGGTAACAAAAAGCAAAACAGACACATATAAAAACAAAAACAAACAACAAAAAAAAAACAAAACAAAACAAAAATACAACAAAAACCTTGACAAAACCAAAAATCACTCCACCATGACATTGTGACTATGATGTGTAAAGGGGATGCAGATAATGTATATTTAGTGACGGTGTGACTATGATGTGTAAAGGGGATACAGATAATGTATATTTAGTGACGGTGTGACTATGATGTGTAAAGGGAATGCAGATAAGGTATATTTAGTGACGGTGTGACTATGATGTGTAAAGGGGATACAGATAATGTAGATTGAGTGACGGTGTGACTATGATGTGTAAAGGGGATACAGATAAGGTATATTTAGTGACGGTGTGACTATGATGTGTAAAGGGGATGCAGATAAGGTATATTTAGTGACGGTGTGACTATGATGTGTAAAGGGGATACAGATAATGTAGATTGAGTGGTGGTATGTCTATCATGTGTAAAGGGGATACAGATAATGTATATTTAGTGACATTGTGACTATGATGTGTAAAGGGGATACCGATAATGTATATTTAATGACGGTGTGACTATGATCTGTAAAGGGGATACAGATAATGTATATTTAATGACGTGTGACTACGATGTGTAAAGGGGATACAGATAATGTATATTTAGTGACATTGTGACTATGATGTGTAAAGGGGATACAGATAATGTATATTTAGTGACGGTGTGACTATGATGTGTAAAGGGGATACCGATAATGTATATTTAATGACGGTGTGACTATGATCTGTAAAGGGGATACAGATAATGTATATTTAATGACGTGTGACTACGATGTGTAAAGGGGATACAGATAATGTATATTTAGTGACGGTGTGACTATGATGTGTAAAGGGGATACAGATAATGTATATTTAGTGACGTGTGACTACGATGTGTAAAGGGGATACAGATAATGTATATTTAGTGACGTGTGACTACGATATGTAACGGGGATACAGATAATGTATATTTAATGACGTTGTGACTATGATGTGTAAAGGGGATACAGATAATGTATATTTAGTGACGTGTGACTACGATGTGTAAAGGGGATACAGATAATGTATATATGCCGCATCAAATGCTTTGCACGTGACAGGTATATTTAATTTAATAACATTTGTCATCCCAAGCTACGTTGCTTCGAAAATGTGTTTCTAGCGCCTAACTTCAAAAGTTAACTGTTAATTGCTATCTCCTGCACGTCGATTGAATAAATTTCAGGTTACTCCTATTGATAGAGCCTCGATGCCCTAACACCTCTGTAAGTTGCATTGTCATGCTTCATTGCTGCCAAACATGTTGTCCTAACTTCATAGCAGTCATAATTTTAATTATTATAATGTAGAGCCTTTTTGCATTATTTTCAATGTTCGCTTAGCGTGGTATACGTACTAATAACATAAACTCCGCAGCATTTTCCTGGAGAGAGGTAAAGTACGTTCAAACTCCCGCTATCTTCCGTTCTTCCGTGGTCAGGACGGTAACAAGGAAGTGATTTATAAATTAGTTTCTGTTTGCCTGTTGTGTAACCTAGCTTACAGTTTGTTGGTTACAAAGTCCTTGTCTTAGATGTATCCTGGCATGTTCCTGAGAACAAAAGCCCTTCCTGACCTCGGAAGGAGGAAAACAAAAACAAATGTAAAGAAACCAATAAAAACGCAATGCGAACCCCAATTTTCTAATCTTGATATCCGCTAAGAGTAAATTAATTAACAGAAAGCAAAAACAAACAAAAATAAATAAAAAAATAAATCAAATAAATAAATAGATAAATAATATAAACATCTTTAAGAATGTTCATTTTCTGAACATATAAATAACATTTAGCCATCTATCAAAATTTTCCTTTCTTGATTACTTTACAGATATGAAAAATTAGCGTATTTAGACTACGTTTGTTTGGTAAAATATCTATATTGAGTACAATTAAATTTCAACTTAACTAAAGAAGAAATAAGTCGATAGAAACATTGCCAAGAAAAAAAACCAAAATGATTTGAAATCAAAACCAGTCTCTTATATTTCAAAAAAAGTCATCGCAAGAAAATTTAAATAACATTGTATACATCCTTATTTTTACTGCTGTATCGACAAAGCATTCATTAAACTACCTTACCTCTATCTCCCTCCACTTAACTATCAATGTTGCCTTCTGCATTTAATTGTGGACAACATGAATCAATTATTACCTTCGTGTGCTCAAAGTTTGGAGATTTGAAACCATGCTTCATAATACTTACCTTCCAGTTATAAAATACTATTATATGTGAACGTGTGAACAACAGTAAGACAACTTTCTAACAAGTGCATTTTTCTTTTAATCGTTTAATTGTAAATAATTGAAGAAACAACAAAATAATTTAAAACATGTTAGTTTGTTCACAGACTTACAATTCCTTCCTTTACTGTTAGTTGGGTCTAAATGACTGAAAAAAAGTCTGGGTTTCCCGCGTTTCTATGCCATACTACCAGTTATGATTCTGTGGTCAGGCGTTGGTGTCTGTTCTCGCTGCAGACTACTGAGCATTATGCACACATACACAGGGTGTATCGCGTACACATGTAAACCGTGTGTTCCACCACTAGCACCGAGTTTGTCAGAACTGTGTGACATGACCCGTAAACGGCCCGAGGACACGTGGTGGCCCTAGTTTCAACTGTTTACATACACTGAATACAAGACAGGTTTCATTATAAGCCTGAACGCCATTATACACCATTGTTCACCCGGCAGACATTTATTTTACACTTAACCGGAAGTAAACATCCATGTATGAAGGGTTTCAAAAATAGGAGAATGATGAGGAACATATCAGTTTGCAGTGTTTCCGCGGTAACCAGTTACACAAGTTTATGTAATGAGCCTGAAAACGTGTGAATGACAAGCGTGCTGTCCTTGCTGTGGCGATTTTTTCGTGGTATTTTGAGGTAACGTAATTCAATAGTCTGAATCGTTACACACATGTATATAAGTACATTGTATACCTATCTTTGTAGAGATGTGACCATCGTTATAGGTCTATTTACATCATATTTATCCTAGAATCACGTAGAAGATGAATTAAGGGTAAATCAATAGTGTCTATCTTATCACACTCCTGTGTGCTATTATATATGCCGAACTGTGTTATATACCTATATATATATATACAGTATTCTGGTTCATGTGTCTGCAGTCAGTGGTCTGTAGTGTTGCTATTAAGTAGTTTTCATATAATGGCTAATTTCACTCACGTAATCACTACTGGGTTATACGTCCCTTCCAAGGTTTACTGACCAGTGCCTATGGAGGTTTGATCTGTGACTTTGATAGGTTAAAGTACCTTAGGTACATTATATATATATATATATATACGTGGTGTTATAATAACCGGTTCAATCCTATTTGTTTCACATAGAGTCATTTGTACTGGTATTTAACGGTCTCGAAAATCACGCAGTCATTTCATTTTCTGAAATTAAAGGACTTTGTGTACCCTGAAATGACAGTCCCGAGCAAAAGGTCCCAGAGTAAGTGTCACTAAATACATTGATATCTTGGTCCCGGGGTTAGTGTCACTAAATACATAGATATCTAGGTCCCGGGGTTAGTGTCACTTAAGACATTGGTATCTAGGTCACTGGAGTTATTGTCCATAGATACACCAATATCTAGGTCCCTGGAATTATTGTCCATAGAGACACCAATATCTAGGTCCCTGGAGTAATTGTCCATAGAGACACCAATATCTAGGTCCCTGGAGTTATTGTCCATAGAGACACCAATATTTAGGTCCCTGGAGTAATTGTCCATAGAGACACCAATATCTAGGTCACTGTAGTTATTGTCCATAGAGACACCAATATCTAGGTCCCTAGAGTTCTTGTACATAGAGATATCAATATCTAGGTCACTGAGGGTATTGTCCATAGAGACACCAATATCTAGGTCACTGACGGTATCGTCCATAGAGACACCAATATCGTTGTCCTGGAGTTGTTGTCCATAGAGACATCAATATCTAGGTCCCTAGAGTTCTTGTACATAGAGATATCAATATCTAGGTCACTGAGGGTATTGTCCATAGAGACACCAATATCTAGGTCACTGACGGTATCGTCCATAGAGACACCAATATCGTTGTCCTGTAGTTATTGGCCATAGAAACACCAATATCTAGGTCCCTAGAGTTCTTGTATATAGAGATATCAACATCTAGGTTACTGAGGGTATTGTCCATAGAGACACCGATATCTAGGTCACTGATGGTGTCGTCCATAGAGACACCAATATCGTTGTTCTGGAGTTATTGTCCATAGAGACATCAATATCTAGGTCCCTGGAGATATTGTCCATTGAGACACCAGTATCCGGATCCCTGGAATTATTGTCCATAGTGACACCAATATCTAGGTCCCTGGAGTTATTGTCCATAGAGACACCGATATCTAGGTCACTGACGGTATCGTCCATACAGACACCAATATAGTTGTCCTGTAGTTATTGTCCATAGAAACACCATTATCTAGGTCCCTAGAGTTCTTGTATATAGATATATCAATATCTTGGTCACTGAGGGTATTGTCCATAGAGACACCGATATCTAGGTTACTGACGGTATCGTCCATAGAGACACCAATATCGTTGTCCTAGAGTTATTGTCCATAGAGACATCAATATCTAGGTCCCTGGAAATATTGTCCATTGAGACACCAGTATCCGGATTCCTGGAATTATTGTCCATAGTAACACCAATATCTAGGTCCCTGAAGTTATTGTCCATAGAGACATCAATATCTAAGTCCCTGGAATTATTGTCCATAGTGACACCAATATCTAGGTCCCTGGAATTATTGTCCATAGTGACACCGATATCTAGGTCCCTGGAGTTATTGTCCATAGAGACACCAATATCTAGGTCACTGTAGTTATTGTCCATAGAGATATCAATATCTAGGTCACTTAAGGTATTGTCTGTAGAGACACCAATATCGTTGTCACTGTGTCTTCCTCTCTAGAGACACCAATATTTATGTCTCTTGATTCCCTTAGAGTCACTGATACCTGGATCCTTGTAGTTCTTCCCTGGAGTCACTCATCTCTGTGTCCTTAGAAACACCTTTGTGAGTTGACTTCCTCAGTTATTGTTGTCTCCAGTTGTAGTTTTTAGAAAATAGATATCTGAGTTGCGTTGATGCAAAATGTTCCTTCATTTTGAAGAAAAAAGATATTCATACACAGAAGAAGTGGTGATATTTTGAATGGTTTTTGGTACATGGCAGATTTTAAGTGAACTCCCGTCAGCAGATACAGCTAATCCCGAATAACAAATAAACCAGAGTCTCATTTAGACTTCTGATGTAGAGTCTGATGTAGTCTGACTCGAATTCTGATGTAGAGTCTGACTTATATTCTGATGTAGTCTGACTCGAATTCTGATGTAGAGTCTGACTTATATTCTGATGTAGTGTCTTACTTATATTCTGATGTAGAGTCTGACTTATATTCTGATGTAGAGTCTGACTTATATTCTGATGTAGTCTGACTCGAATTCTGATGTAGAGTCTGACTTATATTCTGATGTAGTGTCTTACTTATATTCTGATGTAGAGTCTGACTTATATTCTGATGTAGAGTCTGATGTAGTCTGACTCAAATTCTGATGTAGAGTCTGACTTATATTCTGATGTAGAGTCTGACTTATATTCTGATGTAGTGTCTTACTTATATTCTGATGTAGAGTCTGACTTATATTCTGATGTAGAACCAGACTTATATTCTGATGTAGAGTCTGACTTATATTCTGATGTAGAGTCTGACTTATATTCTGATGTAGAGTCTGACTTATATTCTGATGTAGAACCTGACTTATATTCTGATGTAGAGTCTGACTTATATTCTGATGTAGAGTCTGACTTATATTCTGATGTAGAACCTGACTTATATTCTGATGTAGAGTCTGACTTATATTCTGATGTAGAGTCTGACTTATATTCTGATGTAGAACCTGACTTATATTCTGATGTAGAACCAGACTTATATTCTGATGTAGAGTCTGACTTATATTCTGATGTAGAGTCTGACTTATATTCTGATGTAGAGTCTGACTTATATTCTGATGTAGAACCAGACTTATATTCTGATGTAGAGTCTGACTTATATTCTGATGTAGAGTCTGACTTATATTCTGATGTAGAACCAGACTTATATTCTGATGTAGAGTCTGACTTATATTCTGATGTAGAGTCTGAGTTATATTCTGATGTAGAACCTGACTTATATTCTGATGTAGAGTCTGACTTATATTCTGATGTAGAGTCTTACTTATATTCTGATGTAGAGTCTGACTTATATTCTGATGTAGAACCTGACTTATATTCTGATGTAGAGTCTGGCTTATATTTTGATGTAGAACCTGACTTATATTCTGATGTAGTGTCTGACTTATATTCTGATGTAGAGTCTGACTTATATTATGATGTAGAACCAGACTTACATTCTGATGTAGAACCAGACTTGTATTCTGATGTAGAACCAGACTTATATTCTGATGTAGAACTATGTATATATTCACTGCATATAAACAGGACACTGAGTTCATGTCCTTAAGTCTATGAGGTCAATGCTGTTTTTCCCCGGGGCTAAATCTTTGGTCAAATCAACATGGTACCAAGAGGTCAGGTAAAGGAAGCTCTGTTTGTTTTATAAGTAGATCTCATGTCATTGTTTTTTTTTTTTTTTTATATATATAATTTTGAATATTTCTGAACTTATTCACCATTTCAAATTACAGGCACGAAAATGAGTTTCACGAGAATTTACAAGAGATGGGAAGATAAGCTAGCAACTCCCTTCGAGAAATATGGAGTCATTGTATCGAGATATCCATGGCATGTATTGATGGCATGTGTGGTCATCAACTGTCTCCTGGGAATAGGACTGATCAGGATAGAAGCAGAAACGGACACAGAGACTTTGTATACTCCTCAAAACAGTCAGTCCAAGGTAGACCGAGCAGCCGTTCAGGCTGTTTTTGTGGAAGACATGTCTGGCACAAACTTCCACAGTAAAAGTATTACTGAGGAAAACAAGTATGCTGACTTCATTGTAAAAACTAAAAATGGATCAAGTATATTATCTACAGCGTATGTGGATGAAATTGAAAATATATATAACCGCATCAAAGAAAATGTTAACGTGACTAGTGGTGATACAACTGCAGATCTGACAAATGTTTGTGCCTTACGAAATGGAAAGTGTGTTGTTGAAGGAGATGTTGTTTTCAGCACAGTCTTCCGCAATGCTATGACAGCCAACGCCATTAGCTATCCTCTGTTTAATTTTGAATATCTTAGCGGTACGTTTGGGGATGCGCAGTCAACAGGGAGTTACCTCACTTCCGCAAAGATGGTTAGATTGACTTTCTTTCTACGTCAGGACACAACAACTGCAATGACACTGTCCGAAGCCTGGGAAGACAAGTATATAGAAGTACTAGGTGCCATGTCCTCGTCATTACTGGACATAACTTATTCAACGTCATCATCTCTAGACGACGAATTGGATAAAAACGTGAACGGGGATATCTTTTACTTTGCTCTTACCTTCACAATGATGCTTACTTACGCTGGATTTGCCACTTCTGGAGGAGACTGTGTGTCAGACAGACAGAATTTGGGGCGTGCTGGTGTTTTCGCAACATGCTTCTCTATCTTAGGTTCCTTCGGCCTTGTCAGTATGGTTGGTGTCAAGTTTGTCAGCATCGTTGGAACGCTTCCTTTTCTGATCATCGGTAGGTAGTCGTAAGTATAGGATAATCGTTTGTCTGAAGGTTTTGAAAAGACCAGGTGTTCCGGAAGGGTGACTGTCTTCTGCTCCATAGACAACACCTGCCATGTAAATTTTGGTCAATCCAAGTAAGTAATGTCACGCTCCCAAATAAAATCCTAGTAAACAAAGACAGAACCAACAATATACTAACGAGCATCGAACATTTATATTTTCAAAATTGAACTCTTATCGGATTTGTGTTTTAGTTTTGGTTTAAAGATATGTTTTTGGATCAAACATCTGATTTGTTATTTAAAATTTGATCGTTTGTTAAATGTAGGTATTGGTCTGGATGACATGTTCATTCTGATGTCCTGTCTGGCGGACAGCTCATTCAAAGGAACGATTGAGGATCGGATCAAGGAGACGATGAGGACAGGGGGCGTGGCCATTACCATAACGTCCATCACTGACTTTCTGGCGTTCGCCATTGGTGCATCAGCTTCCTTTATCAGCGTCAGGAACTTCTGTGTGTACGCAGGTAAACCCCCGTTAACACTCTGTAATGCAATAGCAGTTTTTACAACTTATTGTTGTCATTTTATCTCAGGTGTGATATTAAGATGATACATTTATCATATCACAGTTAAGTATTTAGGTTAGGGATCCTAAATTATAACAGTATCATCAATGTGGTTTTACTATCGGAAACAACTTTAGGATGATATCTCGTGTAGTACGTATGGTACTTAAAGTGACAGATTTGTCGGTAATTATAGTTTGAAATTGATGGACAGTTTTGTTTATAATTTACATAGATGTGACTTTAACCCTGTAACGTCACCAGTCCAATAACATAAAAAAAACCACAGCAACGATTGGTATATATTTCATCCTTCACGACAGCACTGTCATCTTTATCAAGGAAGTTGTAGTGAAATTACAAATAATTAATAGGAATAATTAATAAATAATAAAAGGAATGATTCATATACTCAAGGGATAAAGAAACGTAGGGTAAAATTTGAAGATGATACTAGACAAGACGTCGAGTATAATGTTCAATATTTTAAAGTAAGAGTGATGATAAATCCATACAGAACAAACGCAAAATCAACGATTTTTATCTGGTAAGTGATTTAGGAGTAATTGAAGGGAATTGAAAGATAACTCTGTAATCTGAAATCGAAATGGACTAATTGTGGGAGAGCTGCTGGCTAGTCAATACCTGTTATGTTCGCTCTATCAACAGCCCTGATCCTCCTAGGCATGGAGTTCATGAGTGAGTTTTCCTCCTCGTTGATTTGTTTGCCAATTCTTCCAAGAGAGATGCTCTCGGTTGGGCCAGAGGGACGGGGAGGCTGGCGTCGTCGAACCTGTCTATCCAGCTGGTCCCACGAGTGCTCTATAAGGGATAGGTCGGGGCTGTATGGCGGCCAGTCCAGTGGGTGGATATTGTTGTTAGTGAAAAACTCGCGTTAGATCCTCGCTGCATGGGGCTGAGCATTATCCTGCTGGAATGTGAGGTTGTTCTGCTGCAATAATGCGACAACACGGGGTCGGAGATCTCATCCCTATACGTTTCGACAGTTAAATTATCCGCTACCACAAGTGGTGATTTAACTCCATGTGAAATTCCTCCCCACACCATAACCGATCCACCCCCAAACATAGCGGTTTTTACTACGCAACAGTCGGCAAAACGTTCTCCACGACGTCGGTATACACGACATCGAACGTCTGCTCGAAACAGTGCAACCGGGATTCATCTGTAAACAAGTCCCGCCTCCACTGCCTCAATGGGAATATTTTGGTGGCATGTGCCGCCACCTCAGCCATACGTCGCTGGCGACGAGCAGCGTTAAGGGGCAGACCTACAAACAGGGGACGTGCCCGCAGACCAACTTTTCGCAATCGTTTCCTTACAGTTTTGCATGGATAGAGCGGTAATGAGTACCTATGGTATGAAGGGCAGATTTAGTGAAAGTGAGGTGCCAATTGCGCAAATGCGCGAGACAAATCAACCTGTCCTAACGTCGTGACGTCACACGCGGACGCCCAGATCTAGGTCTGTTAGCAACCCGCCAAGTTTCCCTTAGACGTCTAACAAGACGTTCTATAGTGCAAATATGGACACCGGAATGTCTGATAACCTGTATTTGCCTTTGACCTTGCATAATCATAGCAATGGCCTGATCCCTCTGAACTTCCATCAGCTGCGCCATTGTTTAATGCTATCATTAATCAAAATATAAGCAAAATGATGTCTCTCTATGAAGGCTCCTTAATGGTATGACGAAGAGTTTAACTCAATGTCACAACACTGCTGTGCACGAGATTTTCCCGTCATACGTTCGCAAGATATTGCAAACAATGTCACCCTGCATTTCTTTATCTCTTGAGTATATGTTCAGATTACTTACCTGTCCAATAAGATAAATTAAGACTTTATTTACAGATTTACCTGTTCACGTCATTGATGAGCTGTTATGTTTAATCTATGAATTAGCGTGGTTTAGATAATACACGTATTCCTGACGTTATTTCGTAGTTATTCTATATTTAAATCCGTTGTATATATATATAAAGTGTATTATAATTGTTTGGCTGTGTTACTCTTAATTTGTGTAGAAAGGCGATGTCCCCTTATATCACTTCGACACAATCCTTAATTACTCTTTTGTACTGTATAAGAAACAGGAATGCCATTCTTTTTAATCGGACATTCACCGCTGTCTTTATAAGAACATGTCTCAGAGCAGGGCAGTCTGTATAGCCTTTTGTATGTTGTAGGTGCTGCTGTTATCTTCTGTTACTTGAACCAGTTGACATTCTTCATCCCATGTATGGTAATCAATGAGCGTCGGATCGCCGAAAACAACCACTGTGGGACATGTCAACCTATAAAAACTCGCGAAGAGTTACGAACGGAGGGCAAATCCAAATGCCAAGTTTTCTGTTGTGGCGGGAAAGCTCCGAAGAATAGAGGTGACAACGAAAGCTATTTAGAAAAATTTCCGAAACTACTTTTCCAGTATATCGTTGAAAATCCCATTGGAAAAATAGCGATAGTAGTGCTGTTCGTTGCTTATGTTACATCAACTGTTTACGGAATAATGAATTTTAAACGAGGCTTACTCCTCAGTAATTTAGTGACCGAAGATTCGTACTATCATACCTACAGTAAGCTCCTGGAGAATCATTTCTCGTCAGAAATTACCATAGGGTTTACGGTTACATCAGCGCAGAACTACTCCCACGCCACTATCCAAAGTCGTGTTTCCGATTTGTTATCTAATGCCAGCGCTGATGTTGACATCAATCCGAGATTCAGATCCGACTGGCTAACAGATTACAAGAGATCCATGTTTTATAGCTCTGCTAGTGAGGCAAGCTTCATAGCCGGACTGAAAATTTTTCTCACAATCCGAACTGACCACGCTAATGACGTAGTCCTCAACAAAGCTGAAACACAAATAGTTGGTGCTAGGTTTTTTGTCTTATCTAAAGATATACCCGAATCCGAACAAAAAGGAAACATAATGCTGCGAATGCGCGAAGTAGCAGACAATTCTCCACTTCCGGTAGTTTGTTTTTCTTGGCCTTTTGTATTTTTTGATGAATACGCTTCTGTTTTTTCTATAACATTTACAACTGTAGGTATTGCCATAGCCGCCATGTTTGTGGTTACCGTGCTGTTTATGCCACATCCGTTACTTGTCGTGTGCGTCACTGGCACCATGGTGATGATATGCGCGGGAATGTTCGGGTTTATGTATTACTGGGACCTCACTCTAAGTGGAATAACTATGATAGACATTGTCATGAGTATAGGATTTTCCGTCGATTTTAGTGCACATATTTGCCATGCGTACATAACTGTAGATGGCGCCACACGAAAAGAACGTGTACACAAAGCTTTAGATCGTTCTGGTGGACCTATCATCAACGCCGCCCTGTCCTCGATAATGGGGATCCTTATCCTGGCATTTTCGTCCTCATACATCTTCAGGAGTTTTTTCAAGTTGATGTTTCTAGTAATGGTATTTGGACTTGCGCATGCGTTGTTGCTGCTTCCGCTGATTTTCTCCTTGGTAGGACCTGTGACGGAATTAACGCCTTCTAACACGTCATCCGACAAACAGGTGAACGTCGAAACACCGAAAGACCATCAAGCTAATACTAGTAGTGACAAACACGAATCAGCGGATCTGAGTAATGTAGCTATCTCGGTACCACTTGATGTGACTACTAGCGACAATACGACGATTTCGCACCTCTAATACAACTAGAGTATAATCTTTAGCATATCCAGTGATTGCACTACAACTACTTTTCTTCTATCTGTTTCTTTTCTGTTGTTTGGATAACCGGTGTAATAGTACTGCAGTATTAAATGGAATAATTTGTGGAACTGTGTTGACAATCTTTAATGGAATATGAAGAAACGTTTTATTTATTTGTTATGTTGTAGAAATTGTTGTTGTGAAATGCATATATGCTTCGATTTTTTTTACTCGAATGTGATTTTGGGTTTATTTATTTATTTATTTATTTATTTGTTATGGAGCAGCAGATTTTAGGTTTATTGAATTTTTGCTTATGTATAAATTAAGTTGTAGTTTTTCAATGTGAAATATTTTGTGATTGTTGTTTTCTAATATGTTTTATCATACAAATTAATACACAGTATTAGTAATTTGATAAAGCTATGTAACGCCATATGTGTAAAAGATGATTTATATTTCATTTTTATTTTAAATAAGATCATTGTCAGTTTGCTTTATCATCGATATGAATAGCATTTTGTTTGAAAGTTTGATTATCATTATCGTTTATCTAACAGGTATTATTGCCTTGCTACATTATAACACATTAGGATAAAGGGAGATAATTCGTCCACGCATAAGTGTGATCAGGTTTTTTAATATTGAGCTCTCGTTTTCATACTATAAATTGACAGAAAAGAATATCGTATATATTGTTATACGTTGAAAAATAAAATATCCTTACATTAATCATTGTAATTTATTTACCGAATAAACGGATACGTATCGGAACATACTCACGTTCTTACCTTAAATTTACGAAATTGATTCATCTGTCTCTGATTTCACTATGTTATTGTTGTTACATATTGTTACAATGGACCATTTAAGGGAGAAAATCAACTGGTTTCAAGATTGTTCGTATTAAGGTTAACTGCTGTATAAACATGTCACCTGTTGTGTCGCTTGGTGTGTCATTTGACGTGTCACATGTTGTGACGCTGGTGGGTCACTTGGTGTGTCATTTGGTGTGTCACCTGTGGTCTCGCTGGTGTGTCACTTGGTGTGTCACTTGGTTTGTCATTTGGTGTGTCACCTGTTGTGTCAATTGGTGTGTCATTTGGTGTGTCACCTGTGGTCTCGCTGGTGTGTCACTTGGTGTGTCATTTGGTATGTCACCTGTTTGTGTCACTTGGTGTGTCATTTGGTGTAGATTACGGTTTAGGTCTCTGTGTCCATGGGACAAATCGCACTGTGGTATAATGTGATATTATGTCAGTCAGTGCAAACCAGTATTACATTACAAATAGGTCTAATTTGTTATCATATTATACATTATAATGAAAAATTGTATAGTATCAATCTGATGCTATATAATACCTCAATGATTTAGAAATCTTCCTCTTGGGTATAGTATCAACCTGATGCTCTATAATACCTCAATGATTTAGAAATCTTCCTCTTGGGTATAGTATCAACCTGATGTCTTTGATACAATTATTGTGTTTGTTTAAACAATGTTCATTAACTTTGAAACCAGTGCTCTATAATACCTCAATGATTTAGAAATCTTCCTCTTGGGTATAGTATCAACCTGATGCTCTATAATACCTCAATGATTTAGAAATCTTCCTCTTGGGTATAGTATCAATCTGATGCTATATAGAAATCTTGATATGCCAGATCGACACGTTTATGATGTCGACTCTGTCCAATAATTTATCAGTGAGTTTAAACGATTTGAAGATGTCTTTGATACAATTATTGTGTTTGTTTAAACAATGTTCATTAACTTTGAAACCTGCATTCGACAACGCAACCCAGTAGTGCAGCTTATCTTTCTTTATACTCTTCGTAACCACTGTCTTTCATTCTTGATGCATCCCTTACACACACACCTTCTCCTTCACAATTTCTTTATGTCTTATTGTCAAAATATATGTATCATTGCCGTCCTACTGCCAAGTCATAATGATAAAGAGACAGTACTTATGAATTTGTAATCATGTTTATTCATCTATGTATTATTTTGTCACTGTTATTTATTGAATAATATACATTTTAAACTATACAAGTATTATGATTAAAAAAAATGTTTAATTAATCATCATACTATAACAAGTCACTGTTACACTGTACACTATACCAAGTCACTGTTACACTGTACACTATAACAAGTCACTGTTACACTGTACACCATAACAAGTCACTGTTACACTGTACACTATAACAAGTCACTGTTACACTGTACACTATAACAAGTCACTGTTACACTGTACACCATAACAGGTCACTGTTACACTGTACACCATAACAAGTCACTGTTACACTGTACACTATAACAAGTCACTGTTACACTGTACACTATAACAAGTCACTGTTACACTGTACACTATAACAAGTCACTGTTACACTGTACACTATAACAAGTCACTGTTATACTGTACACCATAACAAGTCACTGTTACACTGTACACTATAACAAGTCACTGTTATACTGTACACCATAGCAAGTCACTGTTATACTGTACACCATAGCAAGTCACTGTTATACTGTACACCATAACAAGTCACTGTTACACTGTACACTATAACAAGTCACTGTTATACTGTACACCATAACAAGTCACTGTTATACTGTACACCATAACAAGTCACTGTTACACTGTACACTATAACAAGTCACTGTTACACTGTACACTATACCAAGTCACTGTACCGCTGTACACCATAACAGGTCACTGTACACTATAACAAGTCACTGTTACACTGTACACTATAAAAGTTCATTGTTATACTGTACACTATAACAAGTCACTGTTATACTGTACACCATAACAAGTCACTGTTACACTGTACACTATAACAAGTCACTGTTACACTGTACACTATACCAAGTCACTGTACCACTGTACACCATAACAGGTCACTGTACACTATAACAAGTCACTGTTACACTGTACACTATAACAGTTCATTGTTATACTGTACACTATAACAAGTCAGTTACACTGTACACTATACCAAGTCACTGTTACACTGTACACTATACCAAGTCACTGTTACACTGTACACTATACCAAGTCACTGTTACACTGTACACTATAACAGTTCATTGTTATACTGTACACTATAACAAGTCACTGTTATACTGTACACCATAACAAGTCACTGTTACACTGTACACTATACCAAGTCACTGTTACACTGTACACTATACCAAGTCACTGTACCACTGTACACCATAACAGGTCACTGTACACTATAACAAGTCACTGTTACACTGTACACTATAACAGTTCATTGTTATACTGTACACTATAACAAGTCACTGTTACACTGTACACTATAACAAGTCACTGTTACACTGTACACTATACCAAGTCACTGTTACACTGTACACTATACCAAGTCACTGTTACACTGTACACTATAACAAGTCACTGTTACACTGTACACTATAACAGTTCATTGTTATACTGTACACCATAACAGGTCACTGTACACTATAACAAGTCACTGTTACACTGTACACTATAACAGTTCATTGTTATACTGTACACTATAACAAGTCACTGTTACACTGTACACTATACCAAGTCACTGTTACACTGTACACTATACCAAGTCACTGTTACACTGTACACTATAACAAGTCACTGTTACACTGTACACTATACCAAGTCACTGTTACATTGTACACTATACCAAGTCACTGTTACACTGTACACTATAACAAGTCACTGTTACACTGTACACTATACCAAGTCACTGTACCACTGTACACCATAACAGGTCACTGTACACTATAACAAGTCACTGTTACACTGTACACTATAACAGTTCATTGTTATACTGTACACTATAACGGGTTAATATTTTACTGTACACTATAAAGGGTTATTGTTATACTGTACACTATAACGGGTTATCGTTACACCGTACACTATAACGGGTTATTGTTACACCGTACACTAAAAAGGGTTATTGTTATACTGTACACTATAACGGGTTATCGTTACACCGTACACTATAACGGGTTATTGTTACACCGTACACTAAAAAGGGTTATTGTTATAATGTACACTATAAAGGGTTATTGTTATACTGTACACTATAACGGGTATTGTTATACTGTACACTATAACGGGTTATTGTTATACTGTACACTATAACGGGTATTGTTACACTGTACACTATAACGGGGTATTGTTATACTGTACACTATAACGAGTTAATATTTTACTGTTCACGATACAAGTCAGTTCTACATGATGTGATATTTGACATCAATATACAGGTATTACTTGTCATTTTACTTGAGATCTTTACAAAGAAGTATTGGCAACTTTTATGCTTTATGTCTTAATTGTAAACAAACCAATATTTTAGACTGTCACGATGTATATCAATTAATAAGTATTGCATAATATATGACGAACACTATTGTAAGGTCTGAATCGGTTGTGTTTGTTTAAAAGAAATATATCAAACAGCTTAAAAGAACTGTATGGTTATCTGTTGTTACTCTACGTGTAGTTGTACAACTATTGTGTATCCGCCATAACAGAAGTTAATCACATAAACTTTGTTCATCAAACATTTATCCCTCTTTTCCGAATTCCATGCGCGGATTGTGAATGAGAAATTTCCCATCAGAAAGAGCAATATATATATATACACACACACTTATATATTCCAACGGCAGAAACTCTTGTCTCTTTGAACCTGCCCTTGTTGTTCATCAGATAAAGTGTACATGAAAAATACAAATTTTATTGAATGACTGGACTAGTGCACCTGCTCATCTATATTCTTACTTTTCTTTCGATTACATTCGATTTTCCTCTTTTGCTCCATAGACATAAAAAGTTAGGTTCTTGTCATCTTTAAAGAGCCTTAGAAGGACGACAAACCAGTTGTATGATACAGTCATTGATTGGCTTCACTGTATCTTACTCTTAAGTTGTATTAAAAGTACTGTTCACTTGTGTGTCTTTCATACAATCTTTTTGCCACATTTTGTCCACATCCTAACTTGTTATTTCGTTGAAAATATGCTGTTGAAATGATAAAACATCATTTTAAGTACTATTTTCAACATTTAAATCCCTTAGTTACAAAAAAATGACTGGGGATGAAATGTCCTGCTTCACTGTCAGAGAACCTTAAGCAGGCCCAAAGCATGTTTTGTGTCTCCACCATATCTATGGTATTTTCATATCCACATACTACAGACAAAAGTTACTTACAGGTATACTGTAACCTATGGCGGTGTTATGTGATGAGTAGCGTTGGTTGAACATACAGA